TTACTAGTAGTAACAAGAAGCTACTAGTAACAAGTGCATCGCTACTACTAACAAGTGCCTTACTAGTAGTAACAAGAAGCTATTAGTAACAAGTGCATCGCTAGTAGTAACAAGTGCCTTACTAGTAGCAACAAGAACTATTAGTAACAAGTGCATCGCTAGTAGTAGCAAGTGCCTTACTAGTAGTAACAAAAAACTATTAGGAACAAGTGCATCGCTAGTAGTAACAAGTGCCTTACTAGTAGTAACAAGAAGCTATTAGCAACAAGTGCATCGCTAGTAGTAACAAGCGCCTTACTAGTAGTAACAAGAAGCTAGTAGTAACAAGTGCACTGGGTATCGAAGGCGACACTGCAAAAACTTCTCTTCACATTGCTGCCGAGCACAGTACGGTGTTGGCCAGCGACTGCACAGAATGTCAATTGAAGCTGTGAGTGGTTTGGGTAGGGCAGTGTGGCAGTGTGGCAACATGTGCCAATCATGCCTTGTCAAACTCTGCTTACTGATCCAGTGATCCAAATAAGAAGCTACCAGTAGCTAGAAGCTGCTAGGTGGAGGCCATCGCTGTTAGGTTGGAGGCAATCGCTAAATCGCTACTAGTAACAAGAAGCTACTAGTAGCTTCTTGCTCCTAGTAGCGATGCCAGGAGCCCCTAATAGCGTCCTTGCTCCTAGTAACGATGACGGCCTCCGACCCCGATTCGGACTAGAGGGATCGTCTCGTTTTAGCCAGTGACGAAGAAGGCCCGAGCTGGGTGGTCGAGTTTTGGTTGGCCTGAACTAGATGATGAAATCCGGTGGAGGCCATCTGGCCTCTTCTAGGTTGGAGGCCACTGCTATTAGAAACAAAGAAAAGGAACAGGAAGAAACGGTCTAATATAGTTTGCAATTAGGTTGGAGGCCATCGCCAGGCACGGGCCCGAGTCACCTACCAGCAGGTGTGCCGGTGCGGGCCGAGCACTCGGGGGGGCGTTTTCATGTCGTTGTTCGACCCCGAGCCATGGCTAGGGAAAGTTGATGATGGAACTGGCATTCACATAGCCGGCAAAGCATGGTACCGGGACTCACAGAAGGCCGCCTACCACTGCACGACGGCACTTCATGGACAGCCCTTCGTGTTGACTGGAGTGGATTTGAAGGGTGATCGTTTCACGATCTTTGAAGCTCGAAAATCGACTGACAATGGCTCCACTGTCCTCATGGCAACGCCATCCAAGACGATGATCCATAGCTTGATCGACCGAGATGGAGCCACTGAAGTCATCGACATCTGCTCAGGATACGGCATCATGACAGCTGGATATCACCTGATCGGTAGCAAAGTACGGTGCCATGTTGAGATCAATGACAAGTATGTTCAATGGCTTCGTGCACGACAGCATAATGTCATCGCTGGAGACATTGACAGTACAGAAGTGAAATTGGCCTTGCTGCCTTACACACAGGACCCATGCATCATTACGGGAGGTTTTGCATGCCAACCTTTTTCCCAACTCGGAGATGGACGCCAGCAGTATGACCCACGGGCCCGAAGCTTTGAAGGTATGGTTTCTGCATGCTACCTATACCAGCCAGTGGCCCTGATTCTAGAGTGCACCAAAGAGGCGTTCCACTCCTCATGGGTACAAGATTCATTGCAGTCCTTTTGCAAAGCAGCAGGTTACAAGTTCCAGCAACAACTGTGCCACCTACAAGACCTCTGGCCAGCCAAGCGAACACGTTGGTGGGCGGTGATCACCCATCCAGGAGTGCAGATGCCCATGATACAGAGCTTCCCGGCCCTGGACTTTCAGCCTTCGTTCAGACACCTGCTGCCGAAAATGGCAGAATGGCCGAGTGCACAGATCGTTGAACTCACACTCAAACCCCATGAATTGGAAGCTTTTGATAGTCAACCCGGGGGTCTTGGCAAGAACGCCATTTGTCCCAACAAGCCATTGCAAACGGCCCTCCATGCATGGGGATCCCAACTGCACGCCTGTGCTTGCGGTTGCAGGGCCGGAGGTTTCTCCGACCGGCGCATTGAGGAAAAAGGGTTGTACGGGGCACTGATTCCGCTGAATGGGGTCATCAAAGTCCGAGGCCATGATATCCAACAGATGAGGCACATCCATCCTGATGAGGTTGCTATCTTGCACATGGTCCCAACACAGTACATCCAAGGAGACCTAAGGTCCTTGAGACTCGACCTCACTGCATTAGGCCAAATGGCCTCACCAGCTCAATCTCTGTGGCACCTCGCCCAAGTGGTTCAGGCTTTGGATAGAGTGTTTGGGGTCCCATCGTGTCCGGCTCTAGCTGAACGAGCCCTGGTAGGCCTGGCCAACGAAGTTTTTACAGCCAGAGACAACATGCTTGCACCACTCGTTCATACCAAAGAGTCAGCGTTGTTTCAACAAGCTTTCTTCGCTAGGTTCGGATGCAAGACTGACGTCAGGACACCATCCATGCCGCAAATCGTCGCTTCGGTCGCTAGTGAACCGAATCGGACGTATGGGGGGGGGCCCAAGCGCAAGGCTGAATCAGCAGACACCGAGTCCTTGATCAGCCATCGAGATAATGTCGTCACAGCCACCGGAGGATTAGAGTTCTTTGCCAACAAGCCGAACAAGGCATGTTTGACTAAGGTACCTGCACCTCAGGAGGTTCGAGACATCACCATGCCCTCGCATCACATCAATGCACGCATGCCCATTCCTGCAGTTGTGCACACCCAAGGTGTCGCTCGTGGAAAGGGAAAAGGGGGTTGCTTAGGGATCAAGGAAACAAAGGACTGCCAAACAGCCGATCTCGACCAAACGCAAGCTTTGGAAAGCCGTAGTTCAGTTCCTGGCAATGAACACCGTCAGCCGATCGATGCCGAGATTGACCCACAGAATCAGACAGAGCACCTCCGCCTGATCTCATCGGAAAGCTTTGCCATCACAGTGTGCAGCAAAGATTGTGCGCCGATCCGCATTCAAGTAGGTAAAGGGGCTACAGTAGGACAGCTGTCTCAAGCCGAGGTAGGGGTGTCGCCACTCGTGCAGCCGATCGTAGTGACCACACTCACTGGGGCTCCACTGCCATTGCAAAGTCTGTTGACTCCGGAAACATGGTATGTCATCGACAATGGAGCCACACATAGTGTTCCCAAGTGCAATTTGGTCCATGCAGAGCGATCCATTCTTTTGCCCACCAATGCCTGTCATCGCTTCCATGCGTTGCTGAACCAAGGTCCATTGGTTGCCATTGACGAGATGGAATTTTATGCTTCGCTGGTCCGCAGTCAAGGACACAATGTAAGCAAACCCATCGTTATCGATGCACATGAAGATCCAGACCAACTGATTGCCACATGGGTGCTCCAGTGTATGCATGACCACGATGACGACCCATCGCATCAGGTCTTTCTAGCCCCTGTCTTGGTTTTGAGCCATTGGATTCCACTGGCAGCACATGTCCACCAAGGTCATTGCACAGTGTTCATTCCACATGACATGGACCGCCACATCCGCCCGTGGATCATCGAATCATGCGGCTTGGGAGACCTTAGCTTTGAGACATTCATGCAGCCCACCATGTTCTCAGCTGACTGTGGTTTCCAAACGGTAAATTGGATGTTTGCACATGTCATCGGCACGACCAATCCACGGGCAGCCACGCCAGCTCAGGCGGATCAATGGAGAGCTCCATTTGCTCGTCACACCATTACCATGAACATGATGACTGGGCACAGCCTGCGACTGGGTGGGGTACTACAGCCTGATCAATTGTTGTTGCAGTCGTTACTCAAGCAGCACGGAGTGAGCCAAGAGAGGTTGTCCACATGTGCCACCCATCTGATTAGTCAGCTAGGAGCCGACGCTGTCACAAAAGCCCTTGCCAGTTCACAACCATGGAAAGATCTCAAGACGCTGGCATCCCAAGCTGTCCCACCCATCAGGATCGTGCTGGCCTCGGAACTCGATGCGGCTGTGCAGACAAGACTCGCCAGTGCAAAGCCTTTCGGGTCTAAGTCGAACAAAAAGCCGACGGCCAATAGCAACAAGCCGCCCGTCATCCCGTCGGCAGACCAGATCAAATTGCCGGACTCGATCTTTATGCAACAAGATGGACAGAAATTGTCGGCCATCCCGCTGCACAAAGTTGAAGCACATGCACAAGGCATTGCATTGTGCAACATCCAGGATGTAGAACACCTGCTGAGTCTCTCCGCACCGATTTCAGCTGAGGGTGTGGCGTTGTTGATTTTAGATCACGCAGACAGCAGGCTCCCGTCCCAGGTTGGGCATATTCGTGTTCCGGCCATGGCCTCAGGTACAGGTGAACCGATGTTGGTGTCTGCTGCCATGCTTCAACTAGGGGCCAAACGGGTTCTGCGTCATGTGCCGACAGAAAGCTTTGCAGTCGAAGAAATCCAAACAAAAGTCCTCAAGATTGTGGTCTATAGGGATGAATGGACTGGATCATGGACACAATTTCTGTCCCACCCAGTGAAAGCAGTCTTCGACCACCCGATCCTGCAGGTCCACGAACTCCCATTGGCTGACCATATCCTTGATGTCTGGGACCGACAAATGCTGGACGCTAAGTTAGGAAGAGCCCAGGCCAGTCAGGCAGAGGTGTTTGCCTTCCAGGTCCGCACCACAGAAGCATTCGCCACGCAGTTGATGCACAGCGCAGCCGTTGACGGCATCTATGCAGAGCCGAGAACCATGGACGGTCGCAAACCTGACCCTGCTTTCAGGGTAGTCTGGATGCCGCGGTTGTCATTAGCCCAAGTCCGCTTAGCCCGTAGCCAGACAGAAGCAAAGACCACTGTGGTCAGAATGGGGGCTAGATTTGGGCTCCGAGTTGACAAAGAGCAAGCTGAAAAAGTCCATGCCCAGCATAGGCCGGGTCTGATGTTCCTGGACGGACATGAACTGAGGCCATACAAGGTCGGCCCTTTTCCATATGGCTCGACCAAAGCATCGATCACCAAAGGGCTCAAGCACATCGGCTGGAATGCACGTCCGGTACAGCCCATGTCACAGATGCAGGTCCAGGAGGGGATCTTCTGGCAGGTGACAGCACCTCATGAGCCTTCGCACTGGATCTACCAAATGAAGCATGGAGATATCCTCATCGCCAAGCTTGACAGCCAAAAGGAAGCTCCGTTGCCAAGCATGACGAACATCATCGCTTCCAAACAGACCATCGCCAAGTTGGCTCAGACGCACCCCGATCCACAGGCAGATCCGTGGCTGCAGGCAGATCCATGGCAGTCAAATAGCACTAACCGCAAGCAAGGGCCGACTTCGCAGCCCCATGTTGCCACACCAGGACAGCTTGCCGCGTTGGAACAACGCCTCGAACAGAAGATCCATGCTGCCAAGCAGGCCTCTCCCGAGGCATCAATGCAAGTTGATCAAACTGCGAGGAT